TATGACACCCGAAAACATAGGTTAGACATAAAAATGTGTAAAATATCCCATCCAATTTAAAAATACGGTTTTAGGTGAGACAGCAATGGTCGAGCCTTTTATTCCATTACACTATTTCACTATAACCTAATTATACTTTGTCATTATTCTTTTAAAACGCAAATTTCTCTTGTCTCACATCTTTTTTTAATAATTAATCCTTTGAGTAATTCTTTTCTGTTACTACAGAAAACAAAGTAAAATAATTATAAAAAACATAGGATATAGAATCTTTTGTTTGCACAGCATAGATTCCTTAATGTCAATATACATAAATTTTTTTGGGGAATACTTAGTGGTAATAAATAAAATAAAGTTGACAAACTAAATTGTTTCTTAGGTGCTATTAACATCATTTTTTTTTCATCTTAATCCTAATGCTTTGGCTAGACAGCTTACTCTATCGTCACCATCAAAAATTGTTTGCCTTTCTTCTAAGTGCTTTTTTCATTTTAACCAGTCTACTAAACAGTTTCTGAACAGAATAAAGCAATTAAGCGCTCATCTGTTATGTCACTTCTAAACTATACCTCAGAAAACTAAATAGTTTTTTTCAATCAGCAGCATTACATATACGTTGTTGGTCCAAAGCAGATGTGTAAAGTTGTCCAATAATAAATGCCACACAATAATCACTCAAGAAAAAAAAAAAAAAACTGCCAGAATATCTTCAAAAACGATCGTTATTCTCAATAAATGGTAAATTGACAACAGCGAAAAAATAAAAAATAAAAAAAAAAAAAGGAGAAAAAAAAAAGAACAAACATAACTGAAGAAGAAACTGGCTGAGAGTAAGGTTTGGCGATATAGATTTTGGTGAATAACTGAGTTAACCAACCAGTTAGATGACCCCAAAAAAAAAAAAAACAGCAAGCAGCAAAAACCAAAAAAAAAAGATTTATTTTCTAACAGACGACATTTCTGATATACCATTTTGATATCAGAATTTAAGATTTCTAAAATAGGCAAAACAAACAAAAAACAAAGACAGAATGAAAGAAAAAACAAAACAAACTAACAAGCAAATAAAAATAATAACACTAAATTTTGAACTGAAACCAACAGCATCATCAACCCCCCATCATTATCGGCTCGACAGCATCAGTAGCAGCAAACACCAGCATCAGCATTAGCATTACCAGTAACAACAGTAGCAGTGTTAGACAACAGTTGAAGCAGATAGCCGAAGCACAAGCAGTATGGATTACAAAATTAGACT